GATAGTCCCTTGTGCCTATGGGGGGGGGGGGTTGTCCCTGAGCACCGCCACTAGGTGTGGCCCAACCCCCCAACCACTTGGTCACTTGACATCCTGTTGCTCATTGATTTGCTCAAGTGGGCGCCAGTAACATCTCCATTTGTCCCTGTCTCATGCTAGTGTAGCCCAATGGCGTCTGCTCGCTCCAGGAACACGAAGAGCCTCAAACTATTTATTCAGGGTCTTGAAGAAGAAGTCTGACCATCTGGTAGTTGGGCGGCCATGCAGTTTTTTGATGTCCCGTGGAATCCAGTTGGTAACAGCTGTAGTCCAGACGTTGTCTCCAAATCTTGTTATGTGTCCAGCCTTTCTTATTTTTGTAGCCTTGGCAAAAGAGACAGCGTTCCTGATTCTTGACCGTTGACGGATGTCGGAACTCTGGATTCTTTTTTCTCATTTGAGTGAAACGTGATACTCCAAGCATAGGTCTTTTGATTCCACTTTGGGAGACTGAAGAAGAGCATTCTCATCCTTTTTGCGTAGGGCCCAGGTCTCTGAGGCATATGTTAATGTAGGAAGAACAATGGAATCGAAGATATGTGCCCAGAGCTGGAGGTTCTTCTTCCTCTTAGCTACTTCTTTGATGGTCTTGAATGTTTTCCAAGACACTCTCTTCCTCCTGCGCAACTCAGGTGCCAGGTTGTTCCTCATGTTGAGTTCTCGACCTAGGTACACATAACTGCTGCATTTGGAGATGTTCGTTCCTTTGAGAGAGAATGGAACGTCAGGAACGAGTTCGTTTCTCATGAACATTGTCTTTGTGAGATTCAGCTGGAGTCCGACCTTTCCACACTCAACAGTGGAAGTCAGCCAGCATTTGTGCCGCTTGGCTAATGTTTGGTGTTATTAGAACGATGCCATTATCGAAGCAGAGGTGGTGTAGTGCCGACCATCTATCTTCACTCCCATTTCTTCCCATTCCAGTCGTTGCATGACGTTCTTGAGGGTGGCACTGAAGAGTTTCGGTGAAATGGTATCACCCTGCTGAACCCCTCTCTTGATGTCGATGATCACTTCCTTGTAGAATGGTGAGATTCTGGAAGTGAATCCATAATACAGCTCACGGAGGATCCTGATGTATTGAGTTTGAACGCCCTGTTTGGCTCGGGCTTCGGTGACCACCTCAGTCTCAACAGAATAAAGGCTTTCTTTAAATCAATGAATGTTAGACAGCAGCATCTCTGACTCCCGAGAAACGTCAATGAGTTTAGTCGTGCTGAATTCTTTTTGGAACCTGGCTTGCTCACATGGTTGTCCTTCATCTCGTGTTCTGCCAGTCCTATTCAGGATGACTCTAGTGAACAGGTTGTAGACGACGGACAACAGGCAGATGGGGTAATACTTGCCAATGTTGTGGATGTCTCCCTTGTACAGTAGAACGGTCCCACTGGTTTTCCACTGGGATGGAACCTTGCATTCAGACAGGTAGCATGTGAAGAGCCGAGCCAGTGTATTGATGAGTGCTGACTGCAGGTTCTTCAAGTGTTCGGGTCTGACTTTGTCGGGCTGGGTGCTGTTCACTTCTTTACCGATGAAATGGCATGTCAGATTTCGGAAGGGAGAATGTTGGGAATGACTTATTCATCTTGCAGAATTTGGTATGTGGGCAGGTGGACATGGCTATCGAAGAGATCCGAGTAAAAGTCATGGATAGTCTTCTCCATTGCCCTTCTGGAAGATGTGATAGATCCATCAGGATGTTGGAGGGCAGTCATCTTGGTCTTGTAGTTGGTGAAGGACAGGCGGGTGTTGCGAATGCTTTTCCTGGCTTCTGCCACACCGGCCAGCGCTGCTGCTCTTCTCTGTTTAAGGTCTCCCTTTATCGCTTCTCTGCACTGCTTTGTGAGCTTGGACATTAGCTTGTGGTTGCCTGAGGCTCGTGCCAAGCAGTGTTGGCGAATGAGCTTGAGAGTTTCCAGGACAGGCATCGTTTTGTGGCTTTCTCTCCCGGTGTTCCTCGCACAGTCGTGGAGGTGCTGTACCAGCCTATCGTATTCTTCGTCAGTGTTGTCAACGACGGCATCTTCCCATGTTGCCTCAATAGTGCCAATGAATTCCAAGTTGGTGGTCGTTCTGGAGGTTCTCTTCTTAAACTTTGCAGCCCTTTCTCCCCGCTCCGTGAAGTAGAATTTTGCACGAAGGAGGCGGTGGTCCAATCTTGTTTGGAATTTTGGGACAGCAGCAACATCAGTCAGGCAAAACTGTCGATTGAATATGATGTGGTCAATCCTGGTCGACAGTTCCACAACGAAATCGACCACATCATATTCAGTCCCCCAATACCAAATACAAATTTTAAAAATTAAGTGATTTGGCCTAGATTAGTTATGCAAAGCTTTTGTTAGTCTCTGAAGTCTTAGCATCTTGATGCAGTGCTCCTGTGTGCGGAGGGGAGCTCTTTGGTCCGGCCCTCCGCCATGTGGGCAGCCTGCTTGAAAATGTCAGTGTGCGTTTGCTGCAGATTGGACTCTTCTCCTGGGCATTGTTTCTGGTGGGTATTTCTTACTGTCTAAACCCTTCACTCTGTTACTCCTTGATTTCTCTCCTTGACTTTAATCTTCCTACAGGCCATCTCACAGTAACCGTCTTTACTAAGAGTCAGTCATTGGACATTTTTAATTATGTAAGACATTTTGACCTAGAGACAGTTTAGGGGGGCTCCGTGGCGAGCCCTGCTGCACAGTGCTGGCTTGCTCGCGTGCTCATATCCTGGCTCACATCCCTGGTACCACACAGGAGTTTCTAAAAAAACAAAAAAACAAAGCTCGTTCTGGACCAGATTCATACTTAAATGTAATGTAGGATGGTAAACTAGAGATGTCCAAAATCACTAATTACTGTGAAGGTAACGCATGTGGCCGGACAGACACGGCAGGCCCTGCTCTGCCCTTGCCGGGAGAGGGTGGCGGCTGGGATGGGGGTGCTGAGCGCCTGGACACAGCGGGGCGTCTACTGAAGGCCGGCAGGGGCAGGGCAGCACTTTCCTGGAGTGGGAGCTGGGTCAGGGCCTGGCGCCCAGCCACCCTGGGGAGGCACGTGGGAATTCACGGCCAGAGGGAGCAGCGGGTATCAGGGATGCCAGGTGCAATTGGACGCCGGGGGGGGGGGGGGGGTGTCTTTTCATGGCGTGTGTGCCTGTTTAGCCATGAACTCAATGGGGTGTCCTTGTGGATAAGTAGCCGGGTTGCTTGTCACACCCTGCTTGCAGGGCTGAGGGCAAAGGGGAAGGATTTGGGAGAATTGTGCTGGAGTGTCTAAGGCAGAACTAAACAAGTATTTTTCTAGATAACTTCACTTCATACTCTGCTGTTTAGTTTGTCTGTGGTTTTATTAATAAAGACTCTTCCATTGGTTCCTTATATAACTCAGAAGTCCTTAGGGGATTAAAAACAAAATATCAGGGGACTGGGAGTTGTGTGTCTTTGGGTTTCAATTGAGAAAAGGAGATGCTGTAAAAAATTCTTGAAACAATCTATTTTAAGAGATTTTGTGTTTTAAATTAAAAAAATAGTTTCCTGGGTTCAGATTTCATCTAGCTTTATCTTTAAAAAAATTTTTTTTTAATTTAAAGAACTGTGATGTACAAAGTCATTGATAGTTGAGTGTTAGGGATACAACATTTCAGTGCCATTCCCCCATTCCCTCCACCAGCATCAGCTTCCCTCCCAGCAGAGTTCCCAGACTCCCTCCCAAACTCCCACTTCACTTTGACGGACACATTCTGAAGTCCAGCACTTTCAGACGTCGTGTGTTCCGTGTTGCTGAGCCCGCCTCGGGACCTCGCTCTACTGGTGGTGCCCCATCACCAGTGTGCCAGAGGCCCCAACCCTGCTGCCCCCGACCTTCCTTCTCCTTCCTTTACTTCTCTGTCCTTCTTCCCCCTTGTCCTTTGGGGCCAGAGGTGACCTAGGCATCCCCTTTGATTACACTGCCTTTCCTCACCACCACAAGTGAGATCATCCTGTGTTTGTCTTCTTCTGGTTTTATTCGCTCACCAGGATATCTTCCAGTTTCAACCAGGTTGTGGCAAATGGTATGATTTCATAGTTCCTCAATGCTGCACAGTATCCCATTGTGCAGTGTTCCTTAACGCCGTATCCTGTTCCATTGTGTATTCCATTTCATGAATAACCCATCTTCATGATTTTCTTGTCATTGGACACCTAGCTTGATTCCATGTCTTCGTTACTGTATGATGTGCCACAATAAATAATGACGTGCATATGTTCTTTTGAAAGATTTCGTTTTACTTTATTTTTTTAAAGAAATGTATTAAAAGGGCTGGAGTGATAGTGTAACTGGTAGGGCAGTTGCCTTGTATTCAGCCCATCTGGGTTGATCCCCAGCACCCCATTTGGTCCCCTGAGCCCCACGAGATCCCAAAGCAGAGCCAGGAGTATGTCCAGAGCACTGCTGTGTGTGACCCAAAAACAAAACAAAAGAAATTAATTTAAAAGGTTCCCAGGAATTTCAGTGACTTATGTAAAGGTAGCATTTCCTTTTTTCAAATGGATCTCTAAAGTGTTATTTTGAATGATTGACAAAAAGATTTTAAACCATAGCTGCTCTAGAGGAACGACGTTCATATTATTCTTAAGTTCCTAGAATTGCATCTCTGAGGAAGGAGTTTGTTGTGTCTCAACAGCAGAGACGGGAAAGGCTGCTTTACAAAGCCTGGTGCCCTGAGTTTGATTACAAGCACTGTACAGCCCTCGCCGCACCCTGCCCCTCCCCTTGGGCCACGCTATTTGGGGTCCCCCCTCCCTCCTCCTTCCCGGATATTCTTGATGAATTAAATTGAAGTAAATACTTACTAATAAGGGGGAGGAATTTTGTCAGATGACAAAACTGAGCAAAGTATGACACCTTTTAAAAGCCATTTATTTAGCGATTCTTGGTGTAAAGTAATTCATTGTCTTACAATATTTGTTTTCTCTTACGCTTTCTGTATCACATGCCAGGTGAAAAACCATTTCGCTGTGATGAATGTGGTATGAGGTTCATACAAAAATACCATATGGAAAGGCATAAGAGGACTCACAGCGGCGAAAAACCTTACCAGTGCGAATACTGTTTACAGGTAAGAGGTTTTTAGAAATTCCTATACTTAAACCACTTGACTAAAGTATATTTGTCATTGAAATTTTTCGTCCTAAATTAAATTTAAAAATAATTTTAACAGATTGTTATTTCTTACTACTAGAATTATTGATAGATTTATAATGAATAATTGGCTCAGCAAATTAATTTGGAATTGTGTCTATTATTAAGCTTATGTCTATTTTTATATTAATTGCTTTTTCTCTTTTTTCTTTTTCTTGGTTGGCCAAAAACACGGAACCAAAAAACTCACTACCAAACTCTGAATTTTGCAGTATTTTTCCAGAACAGATCGTGTATTAAAACATAAGCGAATGTGCCATGAAAACCATGACAAAAAACTAAACAGATGTGCCATCAAAGGTGGCCTTCTGACATCTGAAGAAGATTCTGGCTTTTCAACATCACCGAAAGATAACTCACTGCCAAAAAAGAAAAGGCAGAAAACCGAGAAGAAAGCATCTGGGTTGGACAAAGAGAGTGCTTTGGACAAATCTGACTTGAAGAAGGACAAAAACGATTACTTGCCCCTTTATTCTTCAAGTACTAAAGTGAAAGATGAGTACATGGTAGCCGAGTATGCTGTTGAAATGCCGCATTCTTCTGTGGGGGGGTCGCATTTAGAAGATGCGTCGGGAGAAATACACCCCCCTAAGTTGGTTCTCAAAAAAATAAACAGTAAGAGAAGTTTGAAGCAGCCACTGGAGCAAAATCAAACGATCTCACCTTTATCCACATATGAGGAGAGCAAAGTTTCCAAATACGCTTTTGAGCTCGTGGATAAGCAGGCGCTGCTGGACTCCGAAGGCAATGCCGACATCGACCCTGTGGACAACCTACAGGAGGGGCCCAGCAAACCTGTGCACAGCAGCACCAACTACGACGACGCCATGCAGTTCCTGAAGAAGAAGCGATACCTTCAAGCCGCGAGTAATAACAGCAGGGAGTATGCACTCAACGTGGGTACCATCGCTTCTCAGCCTTCTGTCACCCAAGCAGCTGTGGCGAGTGTCATTGATGAAAGCACCACGGCCTCCATACTAGACTCACAGGCACTGAATGTGGAGATTAAGAGTAATCATGACAAAAGCGTTATTCCGGATGAGGTACTACAGACTCTGTTGGATCATTACTCTCATAAAGCTAATGGACAGCATGAGATATCGTTCAGTGTGGCGGACACTGAGGTCACTTCTAGCATATCAATAAATTCTTCCGAAGTCCCTGAGGTTACCCAGTCGGAGAATGTTGGATCAAGTTCTCAAGCGTCCTCATCAGATAAAGCCAACATGCTGCAGGAATACTCCAAGTTTCTGCAGCAGGCTTTGGACAGAACTAGCCAAAATGATGCCTATTTGAATAGCCCGAGCCTTAACTTTGTGACTGATAACCAGGCCCTTCCAGCTCAGCCAGCATTCTCGTCCATAGACAAGCAGGTGTATGCAGCCATGCCCATCAATAGCTTTCGATCAGGAATGAATTCTCCGCTAAGAACAACTCCAGATAAGTCTCACTTTGGACTCATAGTTGGTGATTCACAGCACTCATTTCCCTTTTCAGGTGATGAGACAAACCATGCATCAGCCACATCAACACAGGACTTTCTGGATCAAGTGACTTCTCAGAAGAAAGCGGAGGCCCAGCCTGTCCACCAAGCTTACCAAATGAGCTCCTTCGAACAGCCCTTTCGTGCTCCCTACCACGGATCAAGAGCGGGAATCGCTGCCCAATTTAGCACTGCCAATGGACAGGTGAACCTTCGGGGACCAGGCACAAGTGCTGAATTTCCGGAATTTCCCTTGGTGAATGTAAATGAGAATAGAGCTGGGCTGACATCTTCACCTGATGCCACGACTGGCCAGACATTTGGCTAAAAACAAAAGTGTAAATAATATTGGCACTTTAGAACAGATGTATCAAGAGCGGGGTTACTCTGTGTAAAATGGAGTGCTGTACAGAGTAAAGAGTGATGCGTTATAACAAGTTAAGCTGATGCGAATAGCAAGATAATCCAGTAACTGCATTTTGTTTGGTTAGTCAGCATTCTTTGAACTGCCTTACACGTCGTCAACTTTATAGAAGCAATGCATAACTTGTTTTAGATCCGAAACTTGCTATTCCACCTACACCAAGTTAAAAGGAGAAAAAAAAAAAGACTCGCACAATTGTTTCCTAACTGATAACATTGTACATTCTTAGGAGATTAGTAATTGTGTGAAATTTACTCATACTGTTTCTAAGTTTTTCAGCATAGTCATTGCACTTCAGCAGGGAATCTGAGTCTACTTTACAGACAGAGTGAACTTAAAAGTTTAAATGTCAAGAGATTATGGCTTAAATAATTTAGTATGTCTAATAGGGGGAAAAGAAACCAAGAAACCACCTTAAAAAATGATATGCCATATACCTTGATTTTAATTTTGCGTTATATTGACATGTTTTTTTTTTTTTGAGAAAAAAGTAATAAAAATCTCTTAGTCCAAGACTCCACTATTTAAAAGCCTAATTACTTTTAAAATATGCATACTTTCAAAACTTCTACCAAAATAATAACTGTTAAAGCATTCACTTCTCTATGGAAGAATGCATATTGGTGTCAGTTTCTTTGTACAGTTGTACCTAGATATTTTTTATGATTTTTTTCATGTGCCGGTATCGAGGTTTTGAAGTTTTAGTAAAAAGAAATATTCTGTAGATTACATTCCCAAGAACATAATGCTTACACAAAATGTATATTCCAAGTTTTAAAGCTAATTGTATTTTACTTTACATATACACTTCAGTTAACATAGAGCACTTAGAAACTATTTGGTATTTTTGATTTCTCAAAGTAAAAAAAAAACAAATAGATTTATAGACTTGATATCATTGTGTCATAATCATCTCATAATTGACAAATTTAATTTTTGGCAATAAAAGAAAATTGGGTATCTTTGGAACTGTAAAACCTGGTTAATCCTCTTTTTAGAATAATTAAACAGTATCCAGAGAAACTAAAGAACCGGGCATTTTAATTGCTTATTTTATCTTGCGTTCCTTTTTAATGAACACTGCTCATGACAATTTTACAAACCAAAAGTGTTTACTAATTCTAGTAACTGCAATTTCTTTTTCAGCTAGATGAGTGATCGGAAACTTTTTGTTGCATTTCAAAATCTAAATAAACTACAGACTTTATCCTTATACCACGAATGTTTTTTTTTTTTAATACTTTGTCTTAAAATAATACAGCATGGTACAATAAATAGTGCTTTTATATATACATGTATATATACTTTTCTGAAGAATGATGGTTTGAGTTACACATTGGACAGTTTTGATTCTTAGAAAGTAATAGTAGTTTAATTACTAATTTTATTCTCTTTAATTTGCTTCAGTCATTTGGTTTTTTATTTTTGGATTTCCACCATCTTATGTCACAGTGCACAGACCCATACAGCACCAGTGATACCCTAAAATTAACTCTTGGAAGATGAAAACTGATTTTTGTTGATTTTCTTTTTAATTTTCATAGTGACCGGATAGACTTTCAGTCCTTGTTTCCATATAGAGTGTTATGAGTTTAAATTATTTTTGCCTTTTATTTAATATCTTAAAAGTTTTTCTCATAAAGAAAGGGAACAAAGAAATAGCCACCTTTAACATCTTTCACATTTATTTTGAATATATTGGTATTTTATGATAAGGGATATAACTTATGTTTATTGTGGTTTCCTCTAAACTTGGTTATTAAGCTTTGCTTGAAGATTAATTTTTCCATTTGATGGCTTACTTTGCTGCCAAAATTTTCAAGGTGTTTTTTTTTTAACTTCTTTAAGTAGATATTTGAAGTTCTGCCGTTGACTCTTCAGACTCTTCAGAGGGGTGTGTGTTGTGTTGTATATCACAGTTGTAAACATCACAATTGCAAGAAGGCTTAAACTCAGATGAAAGGATAAATAGAACTGTGCTCACCTTCAATAGGCATTTGTATTTTCCTTGTTCTGCTTTTGATGATTGTCTGTCTGACTTAATTTTGTCTTGAGTCTGATCAAGAGTTTTATTCCTTTGAAAACTTCATGTCCTTCTTGAAGTACAATAAGCCCATTGTTCGTTCGAACATCACCAGCACAGGTTTTAGAATGTGACTCAGCTGCGTGGCAGTTAAAAATTTTAAGAAAGCGGCATTGGAAATGGCAGTGATGCATGCAGAACTTCAGACATTTTGCTCTGTCTTCAGCACGCTTCTTTAAATCTATTTAATAGCAGACTTTTCTATCACATTAGAAGCATTTTTCAAGTAAGTGATGCTTTGGCCTGACTTTACTGACTTACCATTTAAATAAAGTTACACTCTACTGTGAAATTCTAAATGCCTACCAGAGTTACCTTATATTATCATCATATGATAAACATCTCAAGACTTTGGGTTTTCCCCACTTGGTTCAGAAAGTTATTTAATTTCTATTTGGGCATTAGTAGAAAAAGCTAGTGGCCTCTGTGCTCCTTCGATCGGAATATTGAGGCTGTGAGATTCTGGTCCTTGTGTCTCTCGGTGAACAAATATTCTATAGAAATGTGCTCTTGTATCCTTAACTTACTGTCAGTGAGTGAGATGTGCTTTTCCATTTAGGACCTACTCTCATTGTTGGAAGATTATCTCGTGAACAGATTCTAAATGGTTTCGTGTTTTTTGTTTTGTTTTTTTCCCTCAATTGTACGTTGTATTTGTTCCAGGACATTAGAGTGGCTTTTCAGTTTATTTGATCTGTTTGCATATATTCTCTTCGATACCACAGAACTCCATCCTTTCATCTCTTCATAGGACTGTCAGTGGTTCGTATTTTTCTTTTTTGAGAGGCAGACGACGCCTTGCACTCAGGGTAGAGTTTCATTTCCACAGGTGAGAGAAATCGGCGAAGTGCCAACTAGGCTACATTTCCTACTTCTTTTTTTCCTTGTTCCTGCCACTTCTGTCATTTCATTAATTCGGGTTTTTAAAGGGCTGTTTAAAAAAAAAGCCGGGAAACTTTAAAAGTAGGCATTACTATAGTACCACATTTTTTAGGATATTTTAAGTAGAACTTGTTTTTCACAGTATATGTACTTGAAGCACTATTATAATCATTGAGAAACTTCTTGACTCTACAATTTAATTTAAACTTTTTTCCGTTTTAAATTTTTTTATTTCAGGGAAATAAATTTCCAGTCGTTTTTGCTATATTCTGCAAATAAAAAACATGTTACCTTTTTTTCCCCACTTTGGTAGGAAACGAACTGAAGCAGACAAGCGTTTCTTGTTCCGTTTGTTGCTTTCTTTAATCCGATGGATAAAAAAAGTAAAACCCTGTAAACATTATTTTATTTTTTTATGCAATACCATGCTGTAAATACGGTTCATCAGATAGGATGTACCTATGATTGAATCTTTAATTCTGCACAGTTAGAGTTTATATATAAATGTGTCTTGACAATCAAGGACTTTTATGTGTCTTCCTTTATGACGTTTATTGATGTTATGCATTCCATTTGTTTTGAAGTGCGTACCAATGTGCTAACTTGTATCGTCTGAAAGTATGTAATGTTTTTACAGCTTGTTTTTAAGAACCTGTAAATATGTACAAATAGATCACAGTACTGCGTTATGTTCGGAGGCATATGATGACGTACTGTGTGGAAGCAATAACACATCGCAGTGCTCACTGTACAAGTAGCATCAGGAAAGTTCTCAGAGCATTTCAGAGTGATTCATCACCTTGATTTCATTCAGTAATGATGATCTTGAATCAGTTTTTATAAGCAAATTCCATAGTTCCTCCTATTGGAACGTAACACTGTTTACACAGCATGATTGAAGTCCAGGGAGACGGCCCACTGCCCACCCCTGCGCTTGCTCTCACTCGGCAGTGAATGGCCTTACGCTCCTCTGCGGGGGACGCAGACCTAGTGCCCGTCACACTGAAGGAAGGGGGTGTGTTTTGTCTTTTTTGGCTTTTGTTGGTTTTTTGTTTCCTGTTTTCTTCCCCTGCTTCTGTACTGCTACCTAACTTTGGTTTGTTTTGGATTTAATATTTGTTTCTGTTTTAGATCTGAGCCCTTAAGTTCTGAGGTGACTTCAGCTCTGTTGTGAAGTACAGTTCTCTTCATATTTCATAGCTGCAATTCAATAATTCTGAACTTTCTACGTTGATTTTTAGATACTTATTTTTCAAGCTTGATTTCAGCTGAGCAGATGAATTTATTCAACTTCAATACAAAGAAAGACAAACCTATTGTAGTTTGAATTGAGTAGATATTATACTGTACAGAACAGCTCACTATTTGAACACACACATCACTGCTTTAGAAATAAAACCGCCAATTTATAAATGTATATGACCTACATTTTATAGGAGAAATGTTTTTAAATGCTAGTCATTTCTATAATGTGCTTTGAAGGGTTTGCTAGTCCACTCCTGTCACTTTTTAGTACACTGGTACCTTTTATATGTAATGTACGCTTTTTATTACTGTAGCAAAGCATTTCAGTGGAAAGAATTTTGCAACAATATGGGGAAATTTTTTCATTGTTGGATTTGAATTATACTGAATTTTATCTGTGTAGTCGTGTCTTTATTTTAATGCTGTCTGGAAGGGAACTTGGTATCCAAATAAAGCAGGTAACCTCATTTTACTTCAAGGGCATACTGTGTAGTGCTGAATTTAATCTGGAACTCTTCTGATGATTTTGAAAAGCAAAGCAAGTTTATAAAGATTGTACAGAAGAAATTAAATGTGTGATGGAAATTCTGATGGCGGAGCACGTTGAGTTTTATGATACATAGTGTTATTTTCCTGGGATCCCCTATACCTTCTTTGTATTTCAGCTAATAAAGGAAAAACACGGTCGTTGAACCTGGTAGGATAATAGGATATTCTGATATGCAGTACTGCTTTTCCTATCCCATTTTCTGAAACTTTCTCAGTCACTGTAAATTTTTATTTTTTATTTCCTATTGATAATTAAACATGTACATAATATAGATGCTGTTGTATAGAACTGAATGAATTAGGTTGCTATGCTTGAGTTGGTAACTAAGCAGAAAAATTGTGCTGAGAATTCATGAAATGCCAGAACAGATTTACAGGACAAGGGGGCATCGTGTGTTCTGGGAAGGTCACCGCAGATGTTTCTTCGACCTGCTGGAAAATTCAGTGTGAAAGAAGCAACTGCAAACTGTCTCTGGTCCAGAAGGGGCCCTCCTTTTCCCACCTCCTCCCAAATATGAGCACTAAATTTCAAGATCTACTCAGGTGAAAATTGCTTTGCAATGAAACTTACCACATTGAAATTTTCACTGTTAAATAAAAAGATATTTGTGATATTTTTAAATACAAACACATCAGTGGTCAGCAGCCTGACAAAATTCGGTAAGTCAGTATGTTTTTAAATATATTTTACCCTCCACATAGAATTGTTTCTAAACAATTGGGAGGATTTTTTGTTGTTGTTGTTTAATTTTTTTAATTGTCATTGTAAAAATTAAAATCTTGCCTCACCCCATTATTATGCCATGGATGACTCGCTGAACCTTTATAGTACACAAGCTTGTTTCATGCATAATCATGGAACATAGAAATGTTCTTTAAGCTGATCTATTCGTTAAGAGGTTTTAATGAGTTTCACAGGTTCTGACATTATTGCCATGTAGTTTTTAGCCTTGCGATTTGGAGCTTATACCATTTTATGTATTGTGATATTAAAGGAAATTGTTTTGTTTTACTTTTAATTATTAGATTAATTTATATTTGAAAATTCTGCATTTGAAATGTGGACACTGGCTGTTTGAAAAATAAAAAAAAAAAGCACAGAATGCAGTTTTATGAATAATTTCCTAGCTGAGTTTTTCCTATCCTGAGCCAAATGATGATAAATAAAACCATGGTATTTAGAGTACTATTGAAAAGGATGTCCTTGGAATCAAAGGTTTGTTAGTGGATTAAGAGGTATATCATAATACCTTAACTGTAGTTTTGTGTGCAACATTTATTACACAGTACTATAAAATACAGAGGTCTAGTGTTACTGAATATTTGGACTTAAAATATGCCTAACATAAAGTTAAAAGACAAACATTTTTCCCTTTTCAGATCAGCTATTATTAATCCATCCTCCTGTGGGACATGTTTCCACTTGAGTAAAGATAGTGTTGCTTTTGGTTCTG